CACAAACGACTCGACGGCACATAACAACAACAACAACATTTTGATATACATCTAGAATATTTATTGCCCTCCACTGATAATTTCTCTATTCCTATATAATAGTAACACAACTTTGAGATGTGTTTTCATATCTAATTGTTGTTTTTGTAGATTTGGTCTTGTTTTCACAAATTCCTTACGTTCTTTCTTTTGTAGAAAGGATGTTATTTTTCCTTCATATTTGATGGAGAGCTTTGCTGGGTACAAGATCCTTGGTTGGCAATTATTTTCTTTCCATTTTCTGTATATGCCATCCCATTGTTTTCTTTCTTGCATGATATCTGCTGAGAAATCAGACTGACTCTGATTGCTTTTCCTCTGTAGGTGACTCTTTTTTTTTTTTAGTGCTGCTTTCAGTATTCTATCCTTATCTTTTATTTTGGAGAATTTAACTATGATCTGTCTTGATGTTTTCCTTTTTGGATCTAGTCTATTTGGTGATCACTGATCCTACTGAATGTGAGATTTCCTTATTATTCATAATATCTGTGAAGTTTTCTTCTAGTACTTTCCCACAATTTTCTCAATGATTTCCCTATCCCTCTCATTTTCTGGAATTCCAATATACATGTGTTAATCCCACATGATTAAAATGGGTGGTTTGTTGTTGTTATTTATGTCTCATCTTTGATTTTTCTTCTAGTATGTTTCCATTGATGTTTTTGTCTTCCAGCTCACTGAGTCTCTGCTCCATCTCTTCTGTTCTACTTTTTTGACCTTCAAGCATGTTGCACACTTCTAGCATTTCAGTCTTAAAATTCTGAATTGCCTTTTTATACCTTTCTGTTATTTCTAGTACTGTGTTGACAGTTTCCTCTCTGTCTTGTGATTTTTTTAAGTTCTTATACTTCTTTATCCATAGTTTCAACTCTTTCTTCCATTTTTTAAATTTTCTTCTGTATTTGTACAAGTTCCTCCTCACCAATATATTTCTTCTGGCTTTGTGTCCCTGGAGCATTTGCTCTCTTTGTGGTTTCTATTATTTCTTCCATCATTTGCACCTTCTTCCATAGCTGTTCAAATAACTCTTCGTCAATATCTTTTCCCCCGGTTCTCTACCTCTAGGGTATTCCCTTTATTTGTGGCTTCCGTTGTTTCTTCCATCGTTAGTACTTTCATACGGAGCTGAATTTCTTCATATCAACATACATCATCTGTCTTCTTGACTGTAGGGTATTCATGAAGTCTCTAATATTCTCTACGTTTTTTTCTTTTTGAGAAGGCTTAATTTGGTGTTTTTTTTTCACAATGTTTGAAGCTACCTGCTGCTTTCTTGACATTATGTGAAGTTTTTCTTAATAAGTACTAGGTTGTTTCTATTGTGTCTGTGAAAGTTGCTGGTGGTTCTTGCCTTTCTAATGTTACTAATTAGTTACCAAATTAAAATATTCAGTCTATGGGGTGAGCTACTCATTCTATTGTAAGTCCTCTCTGGGAAAATTTGCCTTTCCCTAAGTCCTTCGAGCAGAGACTCAGTGAGCTGGAAGACAAAAACATCAATGGAAACATACTAGAAGAAAAATCAGAGATGAGACATAAAGAAAATGAAAAACAAAAAAAAACCCAAACCATTTTAATCATGTGGGATTAACATATGTATATTGGAATTCCCAGAGACTTCCCGAAGTCTCTCTGTTCTTCTCTGCAGCCCTATAGGAATCTCGCCTTGATGTAGTCCCCTGACACCAACTCTATAGACCTCCCTCATGTATGAGGTGGCTGATGGTGTGAGACCAGGTGCTCTACTAAATCAATTTCTTATGCACCTTTTCTCCTAGAGCTTAATGTCTTCCTTTGTCTCTCGAGTGGCACAAGATTAGAGATCAGGGCTGCCAGCTCAAGCAGCTTTCATGCAGCGGCTCTCAAGTCAGCCTTCTCTTCTCTATCGCAGAGAGCTAAGAAAATTCTTTCCTCTGTTTTATATACTAAAGTCTCTTGTCCTGTTTGGCCCCTGGGATGGCCCCATAGCTGTGGAGACAGACCCCAAGATGCAGGGCCCTACAAACCCAGGGACACCTCAGTCCCTCCTCCTCATAAGCAGTGGAGAGTGCTCATTCTTGGCACAGAGCCTCGCCTCCCTCACCTTTTCTCCTACAGCTTAGTGTCTTCCTTTGTCTCTGGTGTGGTGCAAGATCAGGACTGCCAGCTCAGGTAGCTTGTATGCAGAGGCTCTCTAGTCAGCCCTGCATTGCAGAGAGCCAGGAAAATTCTTTCCTCTGCTTGTAGTTCTGTATACTAAAGTTGTTTGGCCCCTGGGATGACCCTGCAGCCACAGTGGCAAGGACCCCCAGATGGAGGGTCCCCAGGTACACCTCAGTCCTGTCCAGAAACCACTTCTATAGCATCCTAGATAAGGGAATCTTCAGCCTCTGCTTGAATACTTCCTGGTGTTCCTTACTACTTTTGAAGCTGCTTTTTTTATCCTGCTTTTGCCCAGTTATAGGAGATCACTGCCTCTTCTACTGGTTGTTATATTCGTTCATTCTAACACAGAACCTATTTGCTCTATGGATATCCTTCTTCTGGCAGAACCCATCTTTGGAAATAAGCACCACAACCCTCTCTCCATTTGGGAAGGAAGAGAATGGCTTTCTTAGAGAGAACCGGAACATGAGTGTACTAGGTTTAAGTGCAGTGAGGACGTCCACTCACCGATTTGCCTGTGTTACTGAGCACTTAGGCATCTAGACAGATAAATAGATATAGTCTCTGCCTTCACAGGGCTCCCTCTGATTGGAGATACAGACATATCAAGTAAGATAACTGTGGTCTGAGATGATGCATGAAGAAGTAACTCACTCCTCCTGGAGCAGTTGGGGAAGACTTCATGTTTGAGTGGAATCTTGACAGATAAGTGACTGAGCTAGAGAAAGAGTTACAGGCAGCAGGAAAAACAACCTGCAGAAACAGAGCCGGAGGGACAGGGGGAAGTGAGAGAGGTGGAAAGTAACACACTGATGTCTTGAGTAATGGGCAGGTGCCCGCTGGATAGTCCAGTATAATATGTCCCTTCCTTCAGCGGTAATAGCCCTGCTGTGCATGAGTGGCTACCTGATCTGGAGAAACTGGAAGCGGAAGAACACCAAGAGCATGAACTTTGACAACCCAGTGTACAGGAAAACAACAGAAGAAGAAGATGAAGACGAGCTCCATATAGGGAGGACGGCTCAGATTGGCCATGTCTATCCTGCGGTAAGAATTCCTGACGGGGAGAATTCCTTCCTCCCTCTCATCTTCCTTCCCTTCCTTCCACCCTTCTTTTTATCCTATCCTTCCTTCTGTCCTTCCTTCCTCGCTTCTTTCCTCAAACATTTCCCAAGAACCCACCATGTGCCAGGCACCATTCTAGGCCCAGGGGAAACAGAAATGCTGAGGCAGGTGGTGGGAGTGGAATGGGTGTCAGGGCCACCTTGTACTTAGAGGCTCTTCCGGGAAGCAAAGTCTTTATTTCTGCAGAGTAAGTTTTTAAAACCATTGGCCTTGAAGTTGTAACTATGGCCATTCAATTCACTTGTATGAATTTCAATAAATACTGCCTACCAGTTATGTGCCCAGCACCATGGATGTATGAAGTGTCCCAAAGTAAACAGAAAGTGGCACTTGCGCCCAGGGAGCTGGCGGGGGAGTAGAAATGCTGACATGATTGTACAGCTGTGTGCCAAGTGCCATGGTGGAAGCTCAGGAGTCTCCTAGGAAGCTTTCCTGGCTTGCTTTGTTCTCCCACAGTCCTCTGGGTCTCTCTCCATCATAGCACCTGTCACACTTTGTCTACTTGTCATTTTACTTATTGGTCTCCCCATTAAGCCATGAGCTCCTTGAGGGCAGGATTATCTGATTAATCTCTTTCCTTGATGCCTAGCTAGGTCCTACCAAATATTTATTGATTAAATGCTGAGGAAACATCAACAAGGCAACTAACTATTAATTTGGCTTAGGGAATCAAGCAGGGACTGCCTCACAGAGTATTGGCCGGCAAAGTGTGTCCTTGACACATCAATGGCAGTTTTCCAGGTAGGGAAGGGAAATGGCAACCCAGATAGAAGCCTGTGCAGTGGCATCAAGGCACAAAAGAGCATGACTTGTTGGGGGAGCAAGGACCACCAGGTGGCTAGTGCAGATGTCATTTTTGTGTAGCAGAGTGAGGGGGCTGAGTGTGACCTCAGAGGTCATCCAGTCCATCCCCCTGTTAGGCAATCAGCAGCTTTGACCGCCCACTGTGGGCAGAGCCCTGTCTTGGGGAGACCAGAGAACTGGAAGACCCAGCCCCTGCCCTCAAGGAGCTTTTTGTCTTGCCGGGGGAACCAAGGTCACAGCTGCACCAACTCCCGAAGAACCCTCTTTCCGAGCTGCCTGTCGTCAAGTGCAAGGTAGGGCAGTCCGAGGGGGCTGGTGAGCAAGGGCATGAATCCAGGCAGGTGTGGCCGGTCCTGGGAGGCCTGCTGCTTCTTGGATTGTAAGCTGGGTGTCGGGGGCAAAGAAGAAATGTGGGCTAGTCGCAGACTGAGGAGATGGCTCGTGGAAGAAGTGGTTGAGTATGGGGCAGAGCACATAGTGTTGCTGCTGAAGCAAACAGTTCAGGAAGGAGAGAGAAGAGAAATGAAGTTGAGCAAGTGAGAGATTCAGCAGATGGCCTTGAGTATCCTTAACCTCAGCCAATGCAAGCAAATTGTTGCTTAACCCATTTCTAAAATCCAGAGAGAGCACCAAGTTCAGTGGAAGAAGCGTTGAGCCTAGAGTGAGGTAATGAGTTCCTGCTTTGCTATTCTACCACCTTGCAATCTTCTTCCTTTTCTCTGCTCATTTGCTTCGTAAAATGGGAATAATAAACCTCATTCTATCTGCCTCTTAAGTTTGCATCATTCAAACTAAATAGCACATGTGAGAGCACTTGTGAATTATAACATGCTCTGCATGTGTAAAGTGGTATTATCTCCTGATGATTCTAAAACCCATGTTAATTACTTTTGTCAGGTGTGGACAGAGCAGCAGAGTGAGGAAATCAACACTTAGTGAGCACCTGCCATTTGTCAGGCACTGTAGTCAATGATTTAAATACGTGGTCTCATTTCATAGTCATGGCAAACTTAATAAAGTTGATATTTTAGTCTCATTTTGCAGAGAAGGAAACTGAGACTCAGAAATGTAATCTCACATAGGGAGCTCTGGTGGTCTAGAGGTAAGAACTTGTGCTGCAATCCCAAAGGCACATCATTTGAATCTACTAGATATTCCGTAGTAGAAAAATGGGCAGTCTCCTCATGCCATTTACTGCCTTTGAAAACCCACTGGAGGGTCAGCTCTGAGTTGGTTCTGACTTGAAGACAAACAACACCAACGAGGTTACATAGGAGTTTTTAAGCTCTGGACTCTAAATTGTTAGAAGTCCAAATTGTTAGACATTTGACCACTAGCCAAAGGTTGGCAGTTCACATCTCCCCGGAAGACACACCTGGAAAATCTAAGGAGCAGTTCTACTCTGCATGCATGGAGTCAGCATGAGTCAGAATCAGCTTAATGACAACCAACAACAACATGATCGCACAGTCAGGAATAGACCGAACAATGATTCCAATTTACCTGTTTACACAAAAGTGTGTGCTCTCTCCACTGTATTGTGAAGGAAACAGCCTCAAAGGTCTGAAAATTAGTATTGTCAACAATCTGTTCTATCCCAGCGTTTTCTGTCCTGTCTCCCCAAGGTTTTCTCTTCTGTCTCTTTCTCACTGCTTGTGGCCTAATCATCTGTCTTGATTGAAGAGAGTGGGAGAGTGGCTAAATGAGAAAGAGATACTCTCAAATGTTTTTGCTAGTGGAGCAATACCAAGACATTGACACAAAACCACGGGGCAATGGTGTTAGTTTTGATCTCATGTGGACTGTCTAGAATGTTCTATCTCTTGCTGATAGAGTTAACGTAGAACACTCTGGACCTATGTAAATTGGGTACTATGCTAAGCACTTATATGCATTATCTCATTTGATTCCCTATGAGATAGATTTTATTATTACTGTTTGACAGAAGGTAAAACAAAGGCTCAGAGAGGTCAAGAGGTTAGCCCATATTCACAAAGTTATAATAAAGATATTGGGGGAGAATGAGAAGTCATTGATAATTGGTTCCAATTTTATGAGGGGAGATGAAAATGTCCTAAAATTAGATAAAATGAAATCATGATGATAATGACTAGTGATCATGTTTTTAAAAACACTGAATTATGCATATTAAATAGGTAAACTATAAGGTATGTGAATTATAGCTCAGTAAAGTTTTTTAAAAATGAAAAACTATTTTAAAACCACAGATTTTTCTAAAGGAATCTTTGTTGTTGGGAATTTTCGATGTTGTGGTTGGCTCTGACTCACAGCAGCACCATGTACAACAGAATAAACCCTGCCCAGCCCTTTGCCTTTCTCTAAGCTGTGCTGGCCTTAAACCCACTGTTGTTGTCACTGTGTCAATCCATTTCATTAAGGGTCTTCCTCTCTTTCGTTTCCCTCTACTTTACCAAGCAAGATGTCCTTTTCCAGGAACTAGCTCATCCTAATATCATGCCTACAGCATATGAGACAAACAGTAGCCAGGAATCGGAATCGTGGGAATTCAGGTGACAACAGAATCTGTTAAAGAAATGTAGGCTAGAGAGAAAAAGAACCAACAACAAACCCAAACTCAGAAAGAAGGGTAGAGACTCCTAACACATTTGCAAAGGAGTTGTCCTGTGTAGAACTCTCTTGAGTCCAAGAAATAGACTTAATCAGGGAACATCGGAAGATAACAGCAAACAGATTTCACATTCGTATTGGCAAGATATTAAGGCCACTGTCTACAGTTGAATAAACTGCTTACTGGGCCCCTTATCTAGTGCACAGTCATTTGTGGCAGAGAGAAGCTTAGTATCTAATGACTAGAAGGTAGGGATGAGGGAAAGCACGATGAAATTTAATTGACCTGTATTGCCTTCCAATTCTGTAGAGTTAGTTGGAAGAGTTGCAACTGATGTACCTTCCTAATTATGATTAACATGCTGAATACAAGTAGTTAATGGCCTGAGATAATGACCAGCAATTTCCAAAGCTAACCCACTAGAGATGATGAGACCAAAAAGCCCTCTCAGGGAAGATGAGAAAGGTTTAGAGCACTATGGTTCTTACCTACAAAGAGGCAAGATAAAAATAATGTGAAAAGTAACAGTTCTGGATTTACACAGACCTGAGCTCAAGTTTATGTACTTGTTAAGTGATCCAGGGCAAACACTGCTTAAGCTCACTGAGTCTCAGTTTTCTCATCTGTAAAATAAACGTGAGAAGTCCTTGAGGTTGTTTGAAGATTGTATGAGCTAATGCCTGTAAAGTAACTGAATGTCTCATACCTTGTGGATATTCAAAGAATAGTAGCTACTGTGTGTCTAATGATTTTTTTTTATCTGTCTTCCCCAGCGAGTGGCATTAAGCCTTGAAGATGATGGACTGCCCTGAGGATGGGTCCGCCCTCTTCGTGCCTCAAGGAACTCAGTCCCATGAACTACACTCTCTGGATGGTGTATGAATGGATGGATGGTTTCTGCACATGGGTCTGTGTGAATGTGCGTGTGTGTGTATGTGATATTTTTTTTTAATTTATGTTGCGGAAAGGTAACCACAAAGTTATGATGAACTGCAAACATCCAAAGGATGTGAGAGTTTTTATATGTATAATGTTTTATACACTTTTTAACTGGTTGCACTACCCATGAGGGACTCATGGAAAGGCTACTGTTGAGTGTCTAACGTGATGTACATAACCAAGCTGAGGTTGGTGGGACAGTAGCTTACTTATCATTTAAAAACTGTATTGACAGAGGATGTTTGTTTCTTGGGGTTTTTCTTCTTCTTTTTTTTTAGGGTTTTGGTTTTTTTGTAAATAAAAATAATTATGCTTTGTGGCTATCCATCAACATAAGTAAAAAAAAAAAAGGATGAAAACACTCCAACCCCCTTCCTCATTTAGATTATTTATTAACATATTTCAAAAATTAAGATTAGTTCTATAAACAATTTAGAGAAGTGAGAGTATTTATTTTTGGTGTGCTTGGCTCTCCACGTTGGAGTCCTGGTGGTACAGTGGTTAAAGCGCTTAGCTGCTAACCAAAAGGTCAAACCCATCAGCTGCTCCTCGGGAGAAGGACGAGGCAGCCTGCTTCTGACAAGATGCGCAGCCTGGAAAACCAGGGGCAGTTCTACTCAGTCCCAAAGGGTGGCTGCGAGTTAGGATCAATGTGACATCAGTGGGTTTGGTTAGCTCTCCCTGCACTTGGGAGGGGGGTGTGTGTTTGTGTTGATGCATGTGTGTGTGTGAGAGAGAGAAATCTGTAGAGAAAATTGCACACCTATGGCTCTTGTTTAAATACACAAAGACTAATATGTTTTTAAACCACCCGTAAGAAGGCTAGCTGTAGTTTTCACAGAAGCCTTCAGAAATTTGGCTCGGAAAGCATACCATGGATTCTGCAGACACCTAGTGGAAGGGGCAGCTCCTTTCCACCTCTGGCTATTCCTGAGGCACCTGTCTGTCAGGAAAAGCACTTCCAGCTCACCCTCAGCTGCTGTGACTCCCCCCTGGGCTTTCTATTCCTTGGTGAAGGCCAGTGTGCAAACTACACAGTGCCAGAAGCACCTGTGAGCACAAGTCAGAGCAAGCTAGCAACTCAGCGGCTCCTAGTTTCAAAAGTTGAGCTCTTTGAGTAAAGTTGAGCTTACTTCCTTCAGGACCATGTGTTGAAGTCACTGCACTTCCTCCGCAGCACCTGTAGGCTGCCATCCTTACCTGCAGAATGAAGCGGAGAATGTTTCCAGGACAGCTCTAGTTTGTCCTGGGGAGAGGCTCAGCCCTGAGGACACAGCTTTATCCTGTGCTCTGGGTGAGGCCTGGGATAGTGGAATCATTTTTTACTCCCATCTGCATTTCCCCTTCTCCTTATTTCCTACCATTTTCTTAGGTGGAGAAAACACTTTAAAATAATAAATAGGTTCTTTACCTTCATATATGGTCATGTAGGTGAAACTAATTTTTGGCTTCAAAAAGTGTAGCCAAACAATAAGTCCTATTTGAGGGGGGGAAATGGCATATACAACCTTATAGTACATTGGACTCTGCACAGAATTTGGTTACTGCTTTGTAAATAAAAAGAGAAACTGTATATGTATATATATATTTTTTTTTTCATTATAGACACTTTGCTTTTCCTGGGCCCTGATGAGTGAGAAGACGTGCTGTTTTCTCTTTGTAGGGGTCTACCTTTAGATACCTAATCCCACAGTCCCAGCAGGAATTCAGTCCCACTGGCTTTCTTAGCAAAGGTATAGTCTTTTCCTAACTCTTTCCCTGCTGTTCTGCACTCCACTGGACAACAAGGGCCAAGGTGTGACACAGATGTTTCTGGCTGAAGTAGGGACAGAGGATATGTATCTAAACTTAACATACCTGGAACTTGACGTATTTAAGCAAATACCAACCCCAGCTCCCACGTCAGTGAAGCTTGGATGTCTGACCAGCTTGATTATCCTTGGGTTTCCACACAGACCCTGCTCCTAAGACCTTCCTCTGCATTGCTCGTGGTCTCATAACCGCTAAGAATGCAGCTGTGCTCTGGACCCTGGACACTAGGTGTTGCATAAGCCATATCCTTACGATATGCCTATGTTGATAATCCTCAAATCTTTGTCAGAAAGGCAAACACCGTTCACCTGGCATGATCAATACCAAACAACTTAAAGAACAAGTGGTCATCTCCTATGGAGCTGGGTCACATTACTCTTCTTTCAAGAATGGAAAGTAAATCTATTTTGTACTAAATGAAAAACACTGAACTTTACGCAAAACAAAGTGGGGGTTTTTTCCCAGTAACCTGCTTCCAAAGACATTTAATTTCCTGGGGAATGAAATTGTAACAGTGACTTATGTGCTGTTTCTAACTTTCAGTCAGATCTTTGCTTTCACAAGAAACAAAAGCGAATAGGCGCCGGTGACACAACCTGATAAAACTTGTGACTCTCTGTTTCCTGAATATGTTACAACTGCAGTTTGAGAAAGGGCAGCTTTTAGAGCAACTGACACAAAACTCACAGCACTGGCTGACAATACATAAGATGGCATCTGGCCGACCTTCCCTCTCTTCCCAGTACCTGTTAGAGGTGTGGAATCCTCCTCTTGTGTGTAGAAAGACTTTTCCTGCAAACCAGAGAAGCATACACATTGGGAAAATTAGACTTCCTAAGAGTGATGCGACATTTTCCAAGTTTGAAGAGCTTTTGAGCCTTGGTCCAAAATGTCACATTTCCATTGCCTTTTGGCCTGTGAGCACTTAGATCTGCAGCCAATAATGAATCCTAACGATTAGACTGTAGAACTGGAAGGAATCTTAGAGACAATATTAGGAGGGGGCAGAAAATTAATTTGGTTGGCAATATTTTCTTTTTTTTAAAACAAACAACTATATGTGGGCCTTTTGTCCTTTCTCTTCTCCAGTGTCTGCTTCAGTCTGCCTGAAAATGATAACAAACATGCTACCTGTCTTATAGCCTGTCTCTCCTGAGCAAGAATGAATGCATCTGCAGAGCCAGGGCAAACTAGAATGTTATTCGTTTACTCTTGATGTTGTTGTTGGGCAAAGGTCAGATTGGACTCATAACAAGCCAGTGTGACAAGCAGAACTGCCCATGGGGTTTCCTAGGCTGTGATCTTGGCAGGGAACAAACTAACAGGCTTGCTTCTGCAAAGCCTCTAGGTGAGTTTAAATTGATGGTTAACAGCCAAGCCTTTAGCTATTGCACAACCAGCACTCCTTTTTGCTCTTGAAAGCATGAGTATAAAACAGTGAGGTCACCTCCCCTGTAAAAAGATGAGAAGGGACTTAAGGTTATGGCAGTAAGTACCACCAGTGACTCCAGTTTTCTGTGTGATTACAATATTGCCATTCACAGAAACCAATCTCAAGATCCTAATGATAATGCCAAGTGCAAAGTCAGGTACTGCAGATAAAGATGTCTGTCTGTCTGTCCTTAGGGAGTTAACAGAATCAGAAGAGGAAGACATACATGAAAGCAAAAAAGGTGGTGGGTTCTATTCAGAGCACTTTGGGGGCACAAACAGATGTGTTATTTCTACCTGAGTTGAAGAATGGGGTCAAGAATAGCATCATTGAAGAAATAAGCTAAAGCTTAATAATTCAGTAAAGATGTTCAGGTGACCTCAGCCTGAAGAGGGGAGCCTGAGCTAAGACAAAAGAGGTTTGAGACAGCGTGGAGATTCTAAGGAACTGCAAGAAGTTCGTTATAGCTGGAGCAGAAGGCTCCAGGGCGACCTAACAAAATATGAGGCTGGCTGAGAAGACAGGTTTGATGTAAGCACTTTATAGAACATGGCTGTTGCATTTCTGATTCAATAAGCAGCATTTCTTGATCATTTGCTATGAAGGAAGCACCATATGCGCCATGGAAAATTGACCAGGATGCATTGCCAGCACTTTGCAGATATGACAGTGTTAAGCCTCAAGCTTTCTTGTGGCCAAAGGGAAATGCAACATATTTCTTTTTATTTTATTTTCCCCGTGTATTTGTGTGAATGTTGTTTAAATGTGGGGTTTTTTAAAGAGAAAATATATATATAGTCATTGAAAACTACTATAAAGGCAGTAAGCTTGTCACAGAATCATTCCATTGTTGTCAAGAGCCTCTGAGATGTCCTTCCTTCTCAAATGAGAAAGAAACCTGGGAGTTTTGAAGAATCTCAAGGCGACTTAATCACCGTCCAGTCAGATGCCGGTGGAAGGTGGAGAGCAATTCTCCCCGCTTACCATCTAATTCAAACTACATGCACTCATCGGGCCAAGGAAGTGAGAAATGAACTTTTTTTGAAGGAATCCTTTCCCATCAGTGCCTGAAGGTAGAGCACCAGGGTCTTCTCACATTATATTTTTAGAGTACTAGGGATTTTCAGGGAGCTCTGCTGGCTTAGTCCGTAGGGAGTCTCACTGCTAACCCAAAGGTGGTGCCTCTCTGGCGGTTCAGATCCACCAGCAGCTCCAGGCAAGAAAGATGGATGTGCGACCTCCAGCCTCCAAAAACCCACTGGAGGAGGCTCAGCTGAGTCGGTTGCAACTCGATAGCAATGAGGGGGGTTTTTGAGGGATTTTTCAGGGTACAGGGAATTTTGGAAGTGGAGGAATGACAACTTCAAACTTTCAGTTAATCTAAGAAACCCAGAAGCTTTGCTCATTCGGGCTCTGCACTGTGTGCACGGCCAAGAATCCGCAGAAGCCTTCTGCATTTGCAAACACTGTGCTATAAAAAGTAATTTAAAAAAAGCACCTGTATATTAAATATCTATATTTAAAGACACAAAGGTTTTGATACTTTTTTACAAAAACTGCAAGAGAAAACAAATACCTGTAAAAATACCATGTGCTTTAAAAGTGTTTTGTTCTCTACAATCTGTTATTTAGGGGTGATGTGCTGGTTTGCAGACTCCATCACATTGTACCCAAGTGGGTTTTCCTTGTTTGTCTCCTCCCTGGCCCCTGATCACCGTATTTGATGTATTGGGCATGTTAGATGTTGGGTCGCACTAACCGTTTCCCTCTCTGGGTCTCGTCTCCGCTGTTGGCCTCACTCCACTGTGCAGTCTGGCTTCTCCCAGGAGTGCAGGGGCTGCAGCGGGTGCTACATCACAGGCTGTACTTATACCATCTTGGTGAACTGGAAACCAAATGTGGACATTTGTAAAATCAGTGCACTGTTTCAAGAGAGAGATTAAATCCATTTTTTTTAAACCTGAAAATGTTGTCCAGTTGTGGTGTTTGAATGAAGGGGATTGTGGACTATCACTGCTTGGATCCCCAGTGTGTTCTAAGCATCTTGTATCAATTATTGCGGCTTCACTGACAGTACTGTGAGAGGTTATTAGTATTCTCATCCCCATTTTATAGATGAGATGGGTGAAGTAACTACTCAAAAAGTCCTAAGTATTTTTAATGCTCACAAGAAGCAATGTGCACAGATAAAGTTTACCACCCAAATTTTCCTTTCTGCCTCTTCATCTGACTA